GGTTCTTGGCTTGGTTCACCTCCTAAGCGTTCGTGGCTAGGTGGTTAACGTGTGAGACTCATAATTTCTACATCGCAGGCTCTACCCTTGGAAATTGCGTAGTATCTGTTTTCTGCATTTTGTTAATAGTGTTTGTTCGTGGCTCGGTTCACCTCCTAAGCGTTCGTGGCTAGGTGGTTAGCGTGTGAGACTCATAATTTCTACATCGCAGGCTCGATTTCGAGACGTAGCCGAATTTTAAATTATTTGAGGCTTATTTCTTAATTTTTCTTATTGCACTTAATGGAGATAATTTTTGTCGTGTTGTCCTCAGTGTTTCCGAAACTAAATATCGCCTCTGTTTTAAAAAAGCCTCTCTATGCATGTAATCAGCAGGCAGCTCAGAATCGAATCCTGTTGGAGTCAGAAGCTGACTTTGGTTTTTTGGAATCTACGAATCCATCGTTTGAATTGGTGCTTCAGGCATCTTTGAAGAGCATTGTGGTGAGGCTTTTCCCAGAGTCCGTGATTTACCGTGCATCTGCTTTGATCTATTCATCGGTGGCATATTTCATAAAGTATAGAGTGTACGAACCGTGTAAGTGTTCATGCGGCAACTACTTGAGAAATTTGCCCGTTGAAGTCCATATGCTGGCTTTGATCGCTGCAACTTGCCCTCACAATGGATAGAATAATGATAATAGAAGAATTTATAATAAGCGTAGTTCAATGCCCTTTTTTGTATCAAGCTTAATTTTATAACAAGCGCTCTCTGGTCTTCTCTATTACTGAAAACAGAATTTTGACTTAGTTGTTTTACATCGTTTTTTTAACTAGTCGTTTTTTTTTATAAAGTGCACGTGTCTTACAAACTAAAACAAAGTTTGCGTCAAGAGGCAAACGATTCATTGCTAATGGTGGATGCAATTGTGACGATGCAAATTGTTATCAAACGTGTTAAATTAATCGACTTGCTGGGACTATTTCCGTATTAATTTTTTTATTGATCACTATAAATAATCGTTAAATTAGTTTCAAAAGTTTGATATCACCAAAATCAACATTCCGTGGTCCTAGAAGTTTGAAATTTTGGGGTAATTTTAGACCTGATTCCCCTTGGGATAATTTCAGACCTTTTTATCGATTGTACAAAATGTCATATTTGGATTTCGAACTCGCGCTGTTGGGATCAACTTTATACTTCTCATTTGTTTGTCGCATGACTGTGCCAGTTCGTTTTTTTGTGTTTGCGGACACAGCTCATTCTCATAGAAACTCAATTAAAAGTTGAAATCTTAAACTTTTTGAAAAAATACGTCAAAATTGCTGTATGTTTAAATGTAAGTCATTTCAAAATGGACTCAATAGAAAAATTAAATCATAATGCATATAATTTTTATTTAGATTTACAGGATAATTAATTCAAATGCGGGAGATTTTTTTTCTAGGGAGATTTCATTACATGGGGGACTTTGTCTTGGGCGGAATTTTTTCAGCGAGTTTTTGTCCTGGAGGGTTTATTTTTAGACCCATATAATAGTTTTCAGGGCACCTGAATTTGAAACTTTATTTCTTAACAAATATTTGATGCCGTGGAATTATTTGTGGACAATTTCTAATGCTACAGGTATCAAAAACATGTTACTGGTACAAGAAGACGCTTTTATAATCCTTGAAATTTAAATGTTTAACAGAGAATTGAAGCTAAGGTGATAGGTGGCTCATTGGCTTTTTTTTACCATACTGTGGGCCTTAAGGGAAATATTGTAGTCAATATTTTACCCAGACTGCAATGTTTTAAGGCGCAAATACTTGAAAAGAAAATAGAAATATTTTGCTCAATTTGCAGACTTGTTCGCAGAGTGGCTAAAACATCTGACTGATTGCCCATAGGATCGGGTACGAATCCTGTATGAACTAAATTTTTCAGCTTAGTTGAGATGAATTAGTTGAATCTGTCACCTACTTTCACTCGACAGAGCAAGTGTACTTGTATTTGGCGATAGAATTTGCCCAATAAAGAACTTTTCCTACAAATCTGTAAAAAAACTTGCATTTACTTTCACCTGCAAGGCTGCTGACATGCTCAATTTCCTGAAAGTTGAAATAAAATAACCATCATTTAAGTAGCAATTAGGTGGAGTTCCGTTGGATTCGTGGTTTCCTTCGGTGAAATTTCCGTTTTCTAAAATGCCATTTTTGTTACCCGTTACAATTTTTCTTGGCTCAGATTCCAAAGAATGGGTTTTATGTTGATTTGAAGATTTTTTAACTGTAATTGAAAAGTCTGTAGTTTGTAATTTTACCGAAGTCTCATTTTGAATAATTTTGTTTTTAGTTTAATTTCACGAATTCGGTTTATGTTATATCGGCTCAGTCAAAACTTTTTGCGTGGTTTTGAAGGGTAATTATTACACAAGCTAAGCTTGTGTATTATTACGAACTCACTTTTTTCCAACCTACGTCGCAAATATTAGTGCTCTTTTTGAAAGTGCTCTTTATTGCAGTATATGCCTAAGATCAATAACCAGCGATTAAGTACAGCAAATGCTAAGGATATTAACACGCACTATTGTATTACAAATAGCTTTTTAGCTTCACGGTGTTATTGTTCTGTAGCGTAGCGGTAGGGAAGGAGACCAGCAGCAAAATAAGAGAGTTCGAACCTCAGCAGGGTCGCATGTTTTTAATGAACTTTTTCGTATGCTAGTTAAAATTCGTCTGCTCTATAAATTGAGGCATGTTAGTTGGTAAATTTCTTTTCAAATTGACAGGTACTGCTATTGCGCCATAATTGGCTTGCGTCACTTAGCAATTATGTAGACTCATAATTGGCGTGCGTCACTTGAGAATTTTTGTAGACTCAAAGTCTTACTCATTCAGTTTTTCCCAGTAGCGTTGGTGGTCATTTTTTTGCTTGTGTATGCGAAGTGCAACTTCGCCTCTGTGTAATATCGTGTTTTTAGTTTTCACGACCAATCCAATCCTTTCTGACAAACAAAGTTTTTGCTTGCGGCTCAACTGAGTCAACCAAAATTTTTTCGCCTTGTTGCTGATGCCTAGAAAATTCTCAAAAATTTTCAAAGTGTTTTTGCTTGCGGCTCAACTGAGTCAACCAAAATTTTTTCGCCTTGTTGCTGATGCCTAGAAAATTCTCAAAAATTTTCAAGACTTTTTGAATATCATCCGAAGCAAACATGAGTTTTTTTTGTGGTTGTAGTTTTTTGTCTTCAAAAATTAATTTTTTTAAAATTAATTTTCAAAAAATTTTACGTTCTCTGTTCTGTGTCTTTATCTATTCGCTATCATGTACTCCATTTTTTTTGGTGTATCGCAAAAGTAGCGCAGCTTCTTTTCGTCTCACCGTGTAGTTTATCACCAAAACTGATAATATCAGCTGTTACAATCTAATCTAAAAAATATCGTCTGTGGTTTATACCGGTCTTATCATCTATGGTTTAGGTGAGTCTTCAAAAGATTGTACTGGTAGATTCAGCCGGTCGGCACCCTGTGGAACGAGGAAGTTGAGGAGAGCTGCACGAGGAGCTACTACTGGCTTCCTCAGTAATGTGATATCGAAGAAAAATAAATCGTAAGTTTGCTCGGCTCTTCCTGTAGAATTTTAAAAACTTCTAGAATCACGGTTAATGGTAATAATCATTTTCAAGAAGCAAATGCATTTCGCAGGACTAGATATAAACTAGGGATGTCTTACTTCCAGAAAATAGAGCAAAAAAAAATTAGAACTGTGTGAGCAAACGAAAGGTGCCTCACTGAGTATAGAAAAGTCAATTAAATAACAAAACAACTCGTGGTCGACCTGGGCATTGATGTATATTTGTTGCTCTGTCATCCTTTCTTTCGCTATTCAGATCTGGTGTCAGATTAAACCCGGAGTCTTCAGATAGTGGCGGCTGTTCATCTGATGAGGACACAGCCTGTCTGGTGGTATCTTCACCAACTAGGGGACCATCGAGTAGTAGTATGACTCATCCTGGACCAGGAGAGGCATCTCTTTCAATCCACAGTACTGGTAGCATTTCGTTGCAGACATCAACTCATGTCATTGCAGCATCTTAAATCGTTGCAGTCTCCATTTCTTTAATCAGTCGAAAGCTTGAATGTTAAGCTATTTTTCAAAGTACTTTTTTGAAAGCAGCTGCTGAAATCACGTTCTGTTTTCCAATTTGAATAGATTACTTCGATATCGATTTCCCTTTTGCCAGCTTTCTGAGTTGAAAAATTGGTAATATCGTTCCGGGGGCTGAAATTAAATATTGTTCGTAATTTTTTGTTCAATCTTTCTGCTAATTTCACGTAAATGAGAGACAGTAACCTGTTTATATAATATTAGTGATGCAATTTTCTTATTACTCTGTATATTTACGTGCTTTGAGCTCTCTGTGTTAAATTTATTGCAAAGTTATGACAGCACAAACAGCTTTTTATTTTGAAAACAATTGAGTTTCTTGGTATTTCTGAATATTTCAGCGTTAAACCAATTTTGTGCTGCCATTTTGAAAAAAGCTTTAATTTAGAAAATTTTAGATTGTTATTTTCTGACTACTACTGAACAATGGTGTTAGTTTCAATCACTTTTTCAAATCAGTCGAGACTAGATTTTCTGTTTTTGTTCAGGCCTTGCAGTAGGGAGCCTTGGCATTCAGATGTTTCTTTTTCTGTCAAACTGAAATGTTGAACCATGTTTAGCGAGATGCGTGAGAAAAAATTTATGCCAGCGATTTTAACTTAAAAAATGGCGGAGGGTGGTGATGTTAGTTGCTTCAGTTTTTGGCTTGGATTGGGATAATTTCATTTGAGCTTATTTTTATTTTTTTTTAAAGTAATTCAATGGAAATATGTGAGCGTCTTGAATAATTTCAGCGTTCATTCACTTCTTACTTTGCTACGATAACTCCGGTCGGAACATGCTGCCCTTCTTGCTAAATTACCAATTATCATTCCTTGTTATTTTACCTGCGAGTAATCCACTCTTGAATTAGTTTTTTTTTTTCAGAATTGTAGATGGCAGATAAATGATAAGCTTTTTGTGGTATCCTAGCTTATGTCAAAGGGTTTATCGAGATGATTAATTTTGACAGCTAGTTATAATTACAGAAGTAGACGTGAAACTGTATTTAACAGCAGCAAAGATAGCAAATCCTGGCCACCATTATCTGAAGATGAAAAACGTGTATCTGTGAGCTGAGATGAAAGCAACTGAACTTCCATTAATTCCCAAAGGAGTCCATTAACCGTATCTCGCATATGTTGAGTGACTAGTGTTGTTACTGCAATGGTAGTCGCAGTAATGAAGTAAACAAACTTGGATAAAGCTAACAGACCGCTGTCGGTTCAAAGCGATCAGGCAAACTTCAACGAAAATAACTCAAAGTCTACTCTAGTTCTGAGTAACAAAATGATCACCAAGTTGACTTCGGAGTTTTTATGCGAGCAAACTTCGGATCCGGAAACAGTGACCAAATTCATGCTGGAGCGAAACAAGTTGCGAGATCTTCCCTTCGAGCTTGTAGATTTTATTAACTTAGAAACAATTAATTTGTCGTACAATAATTTCCAAAAGTTCCCCAATGTTATTTGCGAGCTGGTTTGTCTTCGAGAAATTATTATGGTCGGCTGTGAAATTGAAGCGCTTCCAACCGAAATGGATAACTTGATTTTTCTGGAAAAGCTGGTTCTGGATTTGAACCATATTCGCAAGATTGGAGACGTGCTGCTTTCGTTGGCGAATTTGACTACACTTAGTTTAGGAATGAACTACTTCTCTGTGTTTTACTCGACGCTTCCAGTTCAGATAAGGCGAGTGTAGATAGTTATAAAGAGTCGATGAACCTTGTGAATACAAGTTTTGGTGATTTTTTTTTTTCAGGCTTTGATTTTTGATATTTTGCTGATATTCTGTTTATACTGTTGGAAAAAAGGAAAATCTGCGGTCTACTGGCTTTTAAAAATGCTTTTATCTGGGACTGTTTTTGGACTGTTTTGTATTGGACTGTTTTTTTTTTCAAAAAAGAGTCAATCTTAAATTGTTCTTGAAATTCAAACAGCTTTAAGGCCATATTTTTTAGATGGAAATTCAAAAGCTGAAGTTTTTCAAAAATTAATCAGTGTTTTTTTTCCGTTTCCTTTCGCGTTTTTAAGTCTCTAGGTGCTTATGATGTCATTTATAATCCTGCATTTATAATCCATGAAGTATAATCCCGCAGTATATCGAATGGGTTGGTAATAAGTAATGACTTTTAAATGATTCTGGTCACTCAATCAGTGGCTGATTGAAGGGGCATGTACACTGTCCTCAGCAAAATAACAAACAAACCACTCAAGGTATTACCTTCGAGAGGGTGAGAGTGTTAAGTTTTAAGAACTGCTTTGATATTTTTCCACAAAATTATCGAAATAATTTAGCGGTAAAGAATTTTTGGTGAGATGAAACATGCCAGAAATTTGCCAATTTGTTTTTTTTTTTTTTTGGGGGGGGGGGGGGGGGGGATTGAGTCGACGTGGACGCTGAAGGTGAAACGCTAATGGGTTCTTTGTTCAAGGGTGTTGAATCTGGACAACAACCACCTTACTTGTTTCCCTGACTGCATCCTGACCCTGGAGAATCTGCAGCATCTCAATCTGAGTTTCAACAGGATCCGAGAGCTGCCCTGGGAAATAGACTGTCTGCGGAAGTTGGAGCAGTTCTCTATTGTGAAGAATAGATTGCAGTCACTGCCGTCTTCCATCAGCAACCTCGAGTAAGCATATTTTCTCATGCAATCTGTGGTCTTGGGATATTGTTGAGTTATTTTGAACTTCAGAATTGTAATGTATGTACGTCTATTTTATGAAACCTAAATCAGGCAAAAGCTCTGTTTTATGGACCGTTTTAAATTTCGTGCCTATTTCTACAAATACAATTCGCAAAAACAATTGGTTTCAATTAATTTTTTTACAACAAGATACAAATTGAAATATATATTTTTTTCAATAGCAAATTGAAGGTGTTGGACCTCAGCAACAACCAGCTAGAAGTTTTGCCAGGTAATCTGAGCAACATGGTTTCTCTGGAAGAGATAAATGTCATCAACAACCCCATGATCCAGCCTCCCAGACACATCTGCGAACATGGCATAGATGCAATCAAAGCCTTCCAAGACTGCCTCAAGAAACAGCTTTATGAACCGTGCAATCGTGCCACCAAAGTATTCATACTAGGTAAGGGAATCAATTAGAGGTGTTTCATTTTCAAGCGTAGAATGGTTAATATACTTAAGTGGATAAAGGTTGTACATTTAATGTTATGAAGCACCTATATATTTACCGCTTTAAATGGGTTAGTTAGTTGTATGTAGTTTATGCAAGGTTTTGTAATGTGATTTTCGGCGACATTTTTAGATGATTTTCAGCTTAATTAGGTGTCGGATATAATTCTGTCGACTTATTACACTTGCGAGAGCAAGTGTATTATAATCGGAACGGGAATTTTTTTCACTTAAACAATTTTTGATACAAATCTTGCTTGCTTTTCCTACTTGCTTTATCATTGAACCATTACAAAATACAGGCTCGTTCTCACTTGTCCGAATGGTAGCGTGGTTGCTTTTGCTCCCTGATGTTGGGGCTCAAGTTTTTTTTAGGATGTATGACGTGAAAGGGTTTTAATTGTTGATCGGACTATCGTAATAATTGAATGGTCGTACTTTCGTTTTGTCGGCTTAGTTGCCACATCAATAATTTTTTGTGCTGTAAGTGATTTTAATTATAGTTTCAAGTGTTCTTTTGGAGTTCAAATTTGTTATGTCGCTTTTGTTTTTTCACTCAGGTATTTTGTTCGAAAAGTTACCCAGTACTTTTCGAGTGGAATGTTGTATTTTTCTTATGCTTTGTGGGGACGGGATGGTATTTCGCTACTCGATAAATGTTTTTGATTACTTATTTCACACCGAATTTCGCATTGATCATCTCTCGAAACAAAATTATGAACTTTTGTGATTGTGGTTTTTCGACATGGTCGGTTTATTGGCTTTCGTTTCATCTTTTGTCTGACAATTGGTAATGCTATGTTTTTGTAGTATCGCAAGTGGTGCGGAGCGCCGCTTCGCCTCTGTGTCAAAAATTGTCGGTTATAAAATGTTCTTGAAGTTCAAAGAGTTAATAGTTTTTCGACCGTTGTAAAATTGCCAATCATAAACAATTCTTGAAATTCAAAGAGCTTCGTGGTTTATTTTTTGTCTTGAAAATTCGAAACTTGAGAAACGCTCAATTCCAACCAACTTCTTGGTTTCCTTGTTCTTTTACACTTTTCAAATTACAATTGGTTAAGTTTTTTCGTATTCTCTGAACTCCTCATTGGCACTTTAACAGCTGTCCGTTGGCTATGTTTTTTTGCGAATTATCAATATCTAGGAGTAGGACCCGAATTGTTTTGTAACATCACGTTTTGTTCCAGTAACATCACGTATATTGCATTGCTTAGGTGCAAGTCGTTCTGGTAAGACAGGCCTTTATAACTTCCTGTCTGGCCAAAAGTCAGAGATGAGTGGCTGTTCTAGCGTCAAACCGAACAAAACGGAGCCTGTCACGAAAAAGAAATTTGCCCATTATTGCAATAACGACTTTGAAAGTCTAGCAGTCACAGTTTTCAAACTCAGTGGCAAAATTGAGTACAATTTCTTGAGTCAAATATTCTTTACGCGCAACGCGCTCTACATTATTTGCGTGCAAATGGATAGATATAAAAATTCGAACTTCAGAAGTTCAGTTCTAAGTTACATTCAGTTGGTACAATCGGTCGTCCCAGACGCAATGATTTTGATTTTGCCTACATATTTAGCAAAAGGTGCTCGATCACCTATTACCAAATTGCAATTCGAGAAAAGTATCACCGATTTACAAAATAGCGCTAAAAATTATATCAGAATTTCAAATTCTAATTTATCAGATGAATTAGATTATTTACAATCGTTGAAAAAAGAACATGGATTTGACTTGTGGTTACTTCATAGGCAAAGATTCCTAGAAAACTTGACAAAATTTTCGCCGAAGATATTGAGTAGTTTAACACCGGGGCCCAATAAGAAGCAATTGGCATGGAAAATATCAAAAAACGACAAATGTGGCGATTTATTAATTAGTTACCTGAAAGAATTGACGCATGTTGAAGAATTCTTTGCTTGCAATTTACAAGACGAGATTCAAAGCTCATGGAAAACTTTGGAAAAATTGATTTCTAGCTACAGAAAGAAGAATTCGGGTCGATTATACTTGAACAGAAACGACATCTTGGAGCCAGCAGTTCAGATTGGAGTTAATTCAGCCGAGATCGATGATGTCATTAAATATCTGAATATCTACGGGGTTATTTTCGTGTTCGATCGAGTGGCGCATTTGAGACAGTGCATGTTTCATGATCCGAAGGTGAGATTTTTTCTATTTGAATGAGTTTAACATAATATAGTATAATTGACTTTTTTAAGAGTAATGAACGTAGTCAGTACTCTTATATAGGTCTTGTTGATTTTTCTGTTGTTTTTTTTTCAGGAAAAAGTCTTGAAGTTTGTTCATGCTCAATTTTGATTTTTCGCGGTTTGACTTGTGATTTCTTTTCAAGTTATGCATTTCCATAGTTAAAAATAAGGCAAACTCCACTATCGAACAGCAAAAATGTAAAATAAAAATTAGTTATTAAGAGTAATGAACGTAATGAAGACTCTTATATAGGTCTTGCTGTTTTTTTTTGTTTTTTTTTTCAGGAAAAGTCTCTAATAATTACAGATGTGCATTCATGCATCATGATGCATTTATGCACATAAGTATATATCCAATTTTTGAGTTCAATTGAAATTAGTCTGCTGAAAGTGACGTAAGTAACACTCTCCAAATATGAACATGAACATGGAAATGGCGCGAAAATTGTGAACGATTTTTAGTTTCGAAAGTGAAATTTATCTGCATCTATTTTTTTCTCTGAAATTTGAAAGTTGAGATTTTTTCAAGAAAGTCACTGTCTTTTTATGTACATTGCGTTCAATACTTTTTTCCAATCTTCGATTGGCTATGTCCAGATTTGCCAGCGAAATAAAAGTTATAGCTATTGATCCAGTTTTCTCGAATTTTGTTAATTTTTACAAACAGTGTCCATCATAAATTATTCTTCAAATTTAAAGAGCTTGAATGGTATCTATTTTTTTCTTCGAAATCCAAAATTTGCAGATTTTTTGAAAAAACTCGTCAGCTGTTTTTCAGTTTCCTTCAGTTCATTACTCTTGGCTATGTTCTAAACGTAGCTTAGAAGATGCTAGGTAAATAGGGCCCCCAAAGAATATATGCATGACTTTAAGGCGACAATTGAGAACAAGGTTAGCTGGTTGCTGTGCAAGTACCACAGAATGTTCCGACCATGTTCATAAAAATATAGAAAAAAAACTTTTTTATTTTCTTCTAGTTAGTGTCTTTTTAGAGGGTGGTGTGATTCGAGAAGTATAGGATCGCATGGAAAATTAATTAATTAGACAGGATTGACAAAATTTGGAAATCTTAATTGTAGAATAAGCGCTGAAAGAAACATCCAAAACTAGTTTTATTGATAATAAAATCAAGTTTTGTGAGCCTAATATTATACAACAAAATAGTTTATTTTCATATAACGAACGTTACTCGATCGCGTTTCTCGCTCGAAGTTGAACTAAAAGTTTTGAACCAGTTTTTTTCGACACTATGAGAATTTCTTGGACATTTTTAATGTTCGAATCACGACTGAAAGGTCTCTAATATGATAGAACACGCAACTCTCTCCGATGATTATTTGTGGTAGCTGATTTTGCGTGGAAAACAAAAAAAAGAAGAAAAAACTAAAATACCAGAACACAAAGCTGCTCCCAATTTTCTATGGTCGAAACAATTATAACATGTTAATTGAACTGTTCCAATACAAGCGAGTAATTTTTCTCAGAAATGCAACTGGAAAATTTGTGTGTAGCGTCATCTTAAAATCCTAATTAAAGCGGTTGTCGTCTTAACAGCTGTCGTCTTATTTGCCGGACACCAGCCTAGAAGGTTACGAAAAGTTCTTTCATGTTCAATACTACGACAATAAATGACTGTTCTTACTTTAACTTAAATGTTAATTAGAGCACGTAATCAGCTGACCGACTGAAGTTTAGTTTATAAGAGTGTTGAGTAAAATTTATCTATTTTTTTTGGGCGACCATTGCCTCGTGGAGAGCAAGTTACCATGGGCGATGTTCCAATTTTGTATCTGGATACTAAAAAATTTTCTCAGCAGCACCTTTATGACGTACCTTTATCTTTTTTTTGTTAAGACAGAAAATTTCGGCTTATAAGCTTTAGTTTTAGTGATTTTTCTTTCTAAACTCTAGTTAGTTTTGTCTGGAAGGCTTATCGGAAATAAAATCTTGCAGATCGTTTCAAACGCATTTTGGGTTTCAGACGCTGGTCGATTTCTTCAATAGTGTTCTAAGTGTATCCCTCCTAACGAACCGAAATGACCCCTCGTTGCAACAATTCTCGCCCTTCGAAATCCAGTCTACCAGAGGTGAATTGAGCCAGCATGGAGTGATTACTGAAGAAATGTTAGTGCAACTTATGAGAAACTCAGTGCCAGAAGCGGATTCTGTAGATTTCAATTACTTCGCGGCGCTGTTGAGAAATTTGTCAATTGCAAGGTAAGGTTGAGGATTCTATACGGATGTGCTGTTTATTTTGAGAAATATACAGTGCTGATTTAAATTAACCGGACGCAACGAACAACATTCGAAAGTTCTAAAGCGTTGTTCTCGAATTGAGTTAAGATTTGATAAAAGGTGAAGAAAACAAAAGTTGCTGAGAATTTCACCAGAATTAATATGGCACATTTTTTTCTCCGAACTTCTCAGCCAAAATTTTACCCCTAAACTGAGTCATTTTGGCTTTTAGAATTAATCACCAATTACGCGACACTACCTAGTTAATTGATGGGAAAATTATATCAAAGAAAGCCTCTCAAACAGTCCAACAAAGTTAGAAAAGTTTGAAAATTTAAAAAGCAAAGATTTCGTTTTTAATATAGTAAAAACGACGTTTTTGGCTATCAACCAAAATTATTTTCTCGTATAGTTTTTTTTTGAAATTTAACCCCTCTAGAACTTCGTTGGACTGTGTGAGAAACTTCTTTTGGTAGAAATTTCTCTCATTAATTACCTCAGTAGTTTCAGCATAATTCTTGATAAATTAAACAAGTCGAAATGACCCATTTTGGGGGTAAATTTTTGGTTGAGAGTTTCGGGAAAAAAATATGGGAATAGTATCGTTTTAAAACATTACGCAACCAATTTCATAATTACTTTTTTATTTTCAGAAAAGTTGACGCAAGCAATATAAAAGAAGTGACCAAATCTCGAAACACGAGATCATCGGCAGTGGTATCCAAACCACAGGCAATCGCTCGGAATCATAAATACCTCACAAAACAAAAATCATCACTCTTCAAGCGAGACCGCAACAAGTATAGCAGACGCTCTCTCATTGGTCGATCAAGTAGCCAATCAGACGAGAACGTGGACCCAATGAAAAAATTAAAAAGCAATCATCACAAGCGAGTGTTTTCCCACAGTGCTCTGCCATCAGATATGTACTATAATTACTCCGAGGAGAACAATTCGACGTCGAAAGTGAAGTACAAGACTTCGTACTTCTTTCCATGGTATATCGAGCAAGAGTATAGTCCACAGCAGCCAGTAGTGTCTGACGATAAGTCACGTGTTATGACATTATGGCCAGGGTATTTGAGGAGTTCGCTGTACAAACTGCAAGTGATATGTGTGTTCAAAAACTTCTCAGATGTAAGTGAAAATTTGAAAATGTAAGATATAGTCAATAATTGAAAAATAAATGTTTTTTTTTCATGAATAGTATAATTTCAGAGTTTATAAATGCATCTCGAGAGAATTGGTTTTCTAACTTGACAAACCATTCGCTGTGTGATTTTTAATTTATTGAGGGTGGGAGGGGGAAAACGGTGCAGTAGATAGGTTTTTCTGTTTTGTTAGTGATAATAGTTTTAAAAACATCAATGAACAGTCCTTAAACCTTGAACTCCTCCTGTAACCTCTTGTAGGCACTGTCTATTCTGCACCGACTGAGTGTGGCCCTGCACCACTGTCTGGACTATAGGGACGACTGGAAGGGAAGACTATCAGCTACAATGGAGTCACTGCCTCTTCTCGTGGAGATCGATACGATCCACAGGGACAACACTGCTACTCAGGTAGGGCAGCTCTATTTGACAGTTTTTCAGTTTGTCTTTTTAAACAGTGGATAGTTCATGAATTTTTGCCCAATACCCTTGCAGTTTGTGTTCTTCAATTTTGTCAAATTCATGTAGGCAATTGCTTAGGTAAACCAACAGTTTTGAATGTTTTGTGATTTTTTTTCATCAACGGGTGGATATGAATTTTTTCCGAAGACGTTTGCAGTTGGGATCTGTCAATTTCGACATAACTCATCTAGGCAAGGAGCAGAGGAAGATATTTATCATTTTAATGAAAAAAAAAGAATTTTGTGGGTCGCTTATCAGATTTGTAGAATACGCTGCTTTTGAAAGGTGCGATTCAATGCCTCGCTAAAGTCATTTTTCAAGGTGAGTCCTTGCAATTAAATCATAACTTTGCTCATTAACCTTTGGTTAGGCCTCTGATTGCTTAACTAAAAAAGTGTAAAAAAAAAACCTTTTTTACACTTTGCAAAATTTTTGCAAAATTTTTGTTCTTATATTATCAAATTAAGGGCAATATTTTCATAGCGTTGTTGTACTAATTCTAAAGATTGATGTGGAAAAATTAGGAAAATAATTGATTTTTTGGCACAGATGACTTCATCGACGATGCCGCCCTTGAACAATTCCTCGAAAAATGGTGAAAGAAAAGGAGGAAGCGAAGGCCTGCCATGTTTGTCCATATCTTCTAAGAGCGAAATTGTCTACTCTCAAGTCATGTGGACCATCATCATACAGGTCAGCTGGTTTTTAAACGCGGAAACTACTATCCAAACTCTTCTTGTTATCGAGACACAATGTCACTTTGTAAGAATTGTTAATCAGCTCTCAAATAATGGAGAGAAATAGCAAAAGGTAATACTTAGCACAAATTTGAAAATCATAATAAGCAACTATGAAAACAAAATATTTCATGATCAAACTAGAAATGCATGAGGTTTGATCCAGGCAATTTTGATCAAGGCATTGTTAAAATATTCGATATACTGCTGCTTCTCTTAAATACTATTAGTCATCTTCATTTCCAACTAATTCGTGATTTGCTTTAGGTCGTTGAATATCTGCTTAAACTTTTCCTTGAGTACCCAGGTCTTAACTACGAACTACAACTTGTCTGCCCGCATTGTCTGAAAAAATTTCCAAACAAGCAACTAGGAGACATGCAGAGATATCCTTGGGAGCAGATTTTCTTCAATTTGAGGGACCCCGATTCTATTGAAGATATCGATGATCTGGGGTTGAGTTGTCCTTACATGAACACAACCGAACGTCTCCCAACTTCGCTTTTGATGCCGCCGCCAATTGAGTTCGACCCCACGTTTTCGAGATACTTCGATGAAATTTTGCCGAGTTTGAGTAGAACGAATTGGAGACAGTTTGCCAAGCGATTAGGTGAGGAATTACCGTAAGAAAAAAGTGTTCCTTAAATGATTAAGAGTCGATCAACGTAGGTCAGACACTTATATAGGTCATGTTGATTTTTTTTCTCAGGAAAAGTCCTAAAATTCTCTAATAACTACAGAATGTACATTCATATATTTTAATGCATTTATGAATGCCCTTAGGCATGCGTGCGCTTTTTAAGAGTCGATGAAATTGGTTCAGACTTTAATATATAGCTCGCGATGATTTTTTATTATTTGTTCAGACTCAAATGTACTTTTTCGCGGTTTGACCTTCGATTTATTTTTGAGTTCTGTTCAGTTCTTTTGTTAAAAGGCAGGCAAAGTCCACTATCGTTTTGCAAAAGTGTGCAGGTCACAAAAAATGTGATCAACTTCTACTTTCGAAAGTGGAATTTAATTTTCAGATTTTCAAGCGAAATATAAAGTTTACCTATTGCTCTAATTTTTTTCTCAAATTGGGTTAATTTTAACAAAAAGTGTCCATCATAAATTGTTCTAAAAGTTCGAAGAACTTTAAGGACATCTAATTTTTTCTTCGAAATTCAAAAGTTCAAGAAGTTTTTTTTTCTGTTTACTTGCGTTCTTTGACTCTTTTGGACTGTCTGTTGGCTATCTTTGAGGTTAATTCAAGTGCATTTGTTAGTAGGTAGGTTGATTGCGCTCTGCAATTGTTAAAGCAGAAATGGCACAAAAAAAACTTGAACCTCTTCTAGTTTCCAAAGTGGACTATAATTTTAATATTTCCCAGCGGAATAAAAAATTTACCTTATGATCCAGTTTTTCTCAAATTGACGGATTTTTATCGAAAGAAAAAACAATCATAAAACGTTCTTGAAATTCCAAAAACTTTAAGTATGTTTCTATCTTGGAAACTCGAAATGGAAGTTTTTCAGAAAACAAGTCAGTGGGTTTTTCTGTTTCTTTGCGTTTATTGACGCTTTTCCAACAGTCTGTTGGCTATGATTTAGCCATTTGCCTTAGAGTTTGTATTTCAAGTATCATAGTCGTTTTGGAGTAAATCAGATGCAGATTCAAGGCTGCTATATTTCACGGCAGCTCTATTTTCAAGGCTGCATTTTACATATACACTATAAAATGAGCTTCGAAAAAAAAATGATTCTGCCGGCTTAATTCAGATATACTTGAAAATCACCAATTCCCGATTTAAAAGCTCATAGAACGAGCTAATGAAAGTTTTCTTTGGAATCATCTTGGGTATTTTTTATCTTTAGTTCACTATTTCCCGTGGAATTGGTGTGTTATTAAACAAGCGTAATCAATTTTTGTCATTAAAAAGTTCTGGGTTTAGGTCTTTCGGACATCGAAACTGACTGCATTAGAGATTCAGTGGCGGCAAGTTACAATTTCAGTCGCCAGAAAGAACTCATGCTAATATTCTGGCACAGATTATTCCTAGCAACTGCCTCGACAACCGATTTAATCGAAGCTTGCAAGAAGCAAGGATTCACTTTCTTAGTCAATAAGCTGACAGCATTACAATCTAAACTGAGAGTTCCGTCTGTTTTGACGCGGCCTCAATTGAGCAGTCAGAGCAGCTTTTCAGCCAATCACGTTGCGTCAACGAGCTCAGAGATTTCAGGATCTATGAGCAATGTTTCGGAGTCATGTCAATCGATATTCGAGGAGCTTCCGACCTAAATAATTTCACGCCTTATTGTAGTTTATCACGCCGAAAACGGAACTTCACGTTAGAAATTAGTTCGTTAGTGAAGCTCGGAAAATACGTTCACACCAGATTGCCAAAATTATATATTCTGCACAATTGTCGTCAATTAAGTAAAACTGAAGGCAGCTTAATTATTTCACATCAAAATCAGTTTCTGCAGCTGCTTTGTCATACATCGGTGCTTTATTTATGCATATTTTTCACAAATCGATGTCGAATTTCAGTAGATTAAATTAATGATTTTGTGTTTAGATTATATGGTGTGCTACAAATTTTTGAGAGATGAGATTATTGTACTTTTTCTGGATATTTTAATGATGAATGACACGCACTAAGTACTTAATGCAAGATCTATGTTTTGCGGAAAACTTCAGACACAATTAAGATCTATGATGACTTAACCGAGCATTCAAATGAGAAGTATGCGAACCTCAGAAGAGCGTTACAATTAGGAACTGCTTAAGTGGAGGAGGCGTCTCAGAAATGCATGGCGACAATTCGTTGCTTGCGAAAATTTTGATTGGATTAACAGAAATTAGATAAATGGGTTAAATTAAAGAACGAAACAACTATCTAAAAAAAATTGAACTAGAGGTCATCAAGTTGCTTGAGAATGTTGTTGTTTGTATAATGTTTAAGGAGTTAAACTGATCTGGATTGGCTTTTTTGTGTTTTGTCAGATTAGCTTTACTTTCTGCGGCAGTTGTTCTGACTAGCTTGTTCTACTTATTTTGCTTTTTTAAGAGTCGATCAACGTAATTTAAGACCAGATTTACTTTTCGCGGTTTGACTGGTTTTTTGTAGTAGTTAGAACATAGTTGAAAGCTGCCCGAGGGAAAAAGAGCCCGGCCTGAGGCTATTTTGCCCGAGGCCATCTTCAACTCTGTTCTAACTGTTGAAGAGTATGTTTTTGCTCTTTCTGAGGGAAAGATGCCAGAAAATTGTGAGGGAGCCCGGAAAATTGTGAAAGAGTCCGTATAAGTGCGCGAGTGCGGCTCTTTTGCCCGAGGCCATCTTCAACTATACTCTAACTGTTGAAGAGTATGTTTTTGCTATTTCTGAGAGAAAGAGCCCGGAAAATTGTGAAAGAGCCCTTAAAAGTGCGCGATGCAAATGATTTCTTTATCATTCATGCGTTCTAATATTTCATTTTTCATTGATGCCTTGTCGTGAAAGAACATTTGTGAAAGAGCAAAAACATACTCTTCTTAAGTTCCGTTCACTTTTTTGCTGCAATGAATACTGACAGCGAAAGTCTAATGGTCGCAAAAAACGTGATCGACTTCCAACTTCGAAAAAAGAATTTAATTTTCGGATTTTGCAGCGAATAAAGAATTCATCTATTGAGTCAGGTTTATCAAAAAGTCAGTCATATCTTGTTCTAGAAGTTCAAAGAGCTTTAAAGCCATATTTTCCCTCGAAAGTTGAGATTTTATCAAAAAAGTGTCTTTTTTCTGTTTACATGATTTTATTGACCCTTCCAACTGTCTGTTGGCTATGTTCTGAGCAATTATCAAAAGGTCAGGTATTACTTGTTCTAGAACTTGAAAGACCTTTGAAGCCATATTTTCCCCGAAAGTCGAGTTTTTATTGAAAAAAAAATGTTTTTTTTTCTGTTTACATGAGTTCATTGACCCTTCCAGCTGTCTGTTGGCTATGTGGATTGAGCACTTTTTTGAACGGTAGGGTGACCACGCTCATCCCACGTGAAACAACCTTTGCGATCTATCGACCGAGTTTTCTTCTTACTTCTACTTGTTGGTTTTCTGCGAAGGATGGTCCTAACCGAAGTTAATTTGAAATAGTCCACATGATCCAGAAAAAGGGCTCGTTGCTTTCATCGCATCTTTCACTGCATAAGGCAGCCATGCAGATTTCGAAGTCTTGAGCTCATGTATAAGTGCCAGAGCAACGAATGTCTTTAGAAACATGTGTTTGTAATTGGCATGAGCAAAATGAATTAAGAATCTTTTTGTGGTGACTCCATTGAAGACATTCTTAAAAGCGTTAATTGAAGCCTTCTCAAAATTTATCTTAATTGAGAGCTCTATACCTGTATTGTTTTTTTTATAGTTAACTGGCGGCCCTAGTGAATTGCTCTTGACTTCCTTCTCTTTTGAAAAAGTAAGAAAGTTAAAGGAATAGTTTATTCCTTAACTACAGCATTAATTTCAAACAATTGATAAAATAAAGCGGGGCTCGCATAAATTTTCCCATCTGCATGCCAGACTTTGTTGCTTTTTAAAATTTTCAACTTATCGTGGGTGAAAAATATAAAATTTGGTTTTTGTCATTCAAACCCGAATAAAAATTGAGGAAATAATCCCCACTCAGGTTCCTGTCTGAATCCAAAGGCACTGCAATATCGTGTTTAAATGGGCGTGATCAGTAATTCGTTACCATTGAAAAATTTTAGGGAATAGTTTGCATTTAAGCGAATTAACAACTGTTTCCAGGCTAATATCCTGGTTCATAAAGTTTATCCTGATTTCTGTTGTACCCTAAAATTTAGTAGTTTTAAAGCAGGCCAAGAAAAAGTTAAATTAGCATGTTTTTGTTCCGCTGATGGGGTGTCAGTTTCCTCATAAAAACGCACGCCTTGCAGTAATGCTACCTTAACGTTTTAATTCAAACTAAATTTAGAAGAATCCTATTTTTGAAATTAAGTCAGCACAATTTATTGAACAATTGTACGCACTTTTTGACTTCTTCCTCGACTTGATCATTTGCGTGACCATATTCTCCAGACAGGCTGACTATTTTATCTGCGATTGTGGCAATAGAAGTCTCAGGAAATATATTTTTTCGGGATTTTTTTTTCATTTCAATTGAAATTTTATTTTTAAAACTGCTACGAATTGTCGCTTGCGATGAATTGTATACTAACGCACTGGAGTTTGATAATAAACATAGATGCACTTCTTGAAACATTTCTATCAATCTACCTGTTTCGATTTGATAGCTTTTAATACTGCTGTCATAGAATAAGAGGTTTGCAAATGACTTCGTATGGAACATTAAACGTGTTTGTACGTTTAGGTTTACCATTTTTGCTTATCTCTATTTTTGAATTCGAAATTCTTCATGAGAATTTGATTGTTTCAGTTACTTTTCCGTAGTGAAGACTCTATGAACGTAAAGAAGACTCTAACATAGATCGACATGATTTTTTTTGTTTGAAAAAGTCTTGAAGTTTGTTGAGGCTCAAGTTTGACTTTTCGCGGTTCGGTGTTTGATTTATTTTTAAATTCACTTCTTTTCCTTGGTTGAAAGGAAGGTAAACTCCACTATCAAACAGCAAAAAGATTAATGTCTTAAAAAACGTGATCGATAGCTATTTTCGAAAACGGATTTTATTTTTAAGAGTAATGAACGTAGTGACGGCTCTTTTGTAGGCCTTGGTGAGTGTTTTTTAGGAAAAAGTTTTAAATCTTCTAACAACTACAGGTGTGCATTCATACATATTAATGCATTTATGATTGCAATTAGGTATATATGCTTCTTTTGAGTTCAATTGAAGTTCATCTGCTGATAGTTACATAAATAGCATTCTCCAAATGCGAATGTTGAAATGGTGCGTAAAAACGTGAACGATTTCTAGTTTCAAAAGTGGAGTTTAATTTTTAGATTTCCTGCGGAATATAAACTTTACCTATTGATACAGTTTTCTCAAGTTTGGTTAATGTTATCAAAGAAGCGCCAATCATGAATTGTCTTATACATTCAATGAGCTTAAAGGGCATCAATTTTTTTCTTTAAAATTCGGAAGTTAAGATTTTTTCAACCAGGTCAATTTGTTTTTTTTTCTTTTTTCTTGCTTTTAGTACATTTTTCCCACTGTCATTTGGCTATGTTATAGATTTTCCTGCGTAATAAAAATTTTACGTATCAATCCAGTTTTCTTCAATTGAATCAAGTTTATCAGACAAGTGTCCAGCACAAATTGTTCTTGAAAATAAAACAATATTAAGTTTTTGTTGAACGAATTGAAGTTTTAATGTCCAGGTTTCATATGTTCTTGCGGATTTTTTTTCAGGGAAAACACATAAGCTATTCGGCACCCAAAATCAATTTTTTGGCAGCTTGGCTTTGATTACATAAATTTCATTTGGTAAACTTTAGATCGACCATTACCAGGTCCCTTTTATTGATTTGATTTCTAAAGCCAGTGTCTTTTAAATGTAGAGGTCATTGTTTTTTGTAACTTTTACAGTTCAAATCAAGTGGGAACCAATTGTGAGAAACTTACAGACTAATGTTGCATCATTACAAGATGGAAAGTTTTGCTCTTTAATGAAATTTCCTGAAATGCGCAAGTACTTGATTTGGGAGTTTATTGGTTCCAAAATTGCAAATCAGTAGCGATAGACTGAAAAATAGTCAGCGTGTCTCAAATTTAGTCACAGGAGTCTGAAAAAATGGGTCATTAGTCTGAAAGTTGTCGGCATTAGTCTGAAAATTAGTCGCAATAGTTGGCAAGTTAATTGCTCTAGTCGAAAATTTTGTCGCGATGCTCTAAAAATGATTCTAGATAGTCTGAAAATGAATCGTGATGGTCTGAAATTTAGCCGCGAGTTCAAAGCTTGCTTAAAACAGGTTGCATATTTGGTTCAGACTCTTGTTCTCTTTTTATACTTTCGTTGCGTAAATGTAGGTCGTAATCATTTTTTAGCATCACAACATAACCACTGTTTTCTTTTTCTGTATATCTTTGTGACGGGAATAAAAAGTTTTTATTTGTAGAATTTTGCAGGCTACTTTTTGAAAAAGTAATTAGAGGCCTAGAAACGTATTTAGAGGTTTTTTTGCGCAGAGGTAATATCCATGCCTGATTAGACAACTGTCTTGTCATGGGTTAGAAGCGTACCAAGACTTGTTCTTCTTGCAAACTGAATCCACCAGTTTAAGGCTACGAGTTGGTTTAGCTATTAAGACTATTTGAAACGTTTCACTTAAAAGCCAATTGTCGGCCAATCTTTTGTCTCATTGTTTTGACTTAGATGTAACATCATGAAATTTTCTTAGGATTTGAGCGATTCTCCTAAAAATTAATATTTTTGAAGTTTTCTTGTCAAGGTGCAAGTAAATAAGGCCCAAGAGTTTTGACGGAAATTTTGATTCAAATTTTTCTCAAATTTTTCACGATTTCACCAAAGTTTTTGTTTCGTTTCTTCTCCCAGTCACAAGAAATCAATAAAGGCAGTCTTGTCTCGATATTTTAAGTTTGGCATCATAAAATTGTTTTAAATCATGATTTACTCTGATGCAAAATGTGAAAAAGAAATACACTTTCCCGCTTTCGCAACTGATTCCTTTGCCTGGTTTGTTTTCCAAATTAGCTTTTATGAATCATTAGTGGTTTCGAAACTACCTGGATCATGCTTATTCTCAAAATTTTTGGAAGTGCTTGGTGTCGCAGATTGTTCTGTCATTATTACTGCAAGTTTTTAGGCATATTTTAATACATTGTTTCTACCTCTGCGGTGAACCTTGTTCAGGGCTAAAAGTTGGCTTGAGTCTGAATAAATTTCATTTCAAAAATTTAAGTACAGCCGGTTGCAGTTCCGAGCAGTGGAAGGTGTTTTTTTTGGTAAGGTTTTTGTGGGTTTTTTTGAGATTTGGTATACATGAAGTTAACAAAGTTGTTACAGAGCAATTTATCATCAGTATTTGAGTACTATATTTGTTCACTTGAATAAATGTAGTCAAAATTTTTGAATAAATGTATGTCAAAATTTCAATATATGTTGTCAAGGTACAGGAAATTGGTCAGAAGTGTAACTAGAATTTGCTAGCATAATCTAAGGTTCCACCAAGGTTAACAAACATACCTCCAGGAAATTGTGAAAGGACAGATATAGGAGGGATGTTATACTTTTCCTTTCCCTATTAAAAAGGTATGTCCGCATGCCTTGAAATTATTAAGCGACCGTTGTACGAGAAAAGTTGATACAAAGAGCCGATAAAAATGAAATTACATCTACCAAGCTTGAATTTGAGCCAAGCACAAAGAAGACTTTACAAACAGAAACAAGTGGGTCGTTGATAGATTCTTTTGTTTCAATTAGTAACTTGATGATAGATCCTTTTGTTTCAATTAGTAAATACAGTTATAAATTTCCGGTTTGATTATATCATAGATCATGGTCAATCTGGTCGATACAGTTACAATGATATAATGATAAACAGATAAATTGAAAGGGACGATTAACTAGAAATGCTTAAAAATTATTCACAACTATACATCCATTCTTAAATTTTACCAAGGAGAGGGGAGTTCTATTTTATTAACTTAATGCTTGTCTCTCTCGCAATATTTTGCTGACGAAAAGTGGAGACAAGATGGTAGCAAGTTAGTGTCCCTATGCTCGTCTAGAAATGGTACGATGTCCGTCGTCAGTTGAAGAAGTGTGACCGACCAAAAGGTGGTTGTTTCGGTGTTCGTTAGAATTATTTTTCAATTTAAGGAATTATTTCACATTAAATTTTAACTATTGAGTGACTCTGGAAGAAAATAACAGTAAGACAAAAAGAGTTTTCATTTTTAAAGAAAGATTAAACGAAAAATAATAGAAAAATTCAACCGTCTGTTTGGGTTAAAAAAAATTAGAGTCACTGAAAAATGCAGGTCGGCTCATCCGAAATATTTTTAGTTTGGTTTTCCCTGCTATTAGACTTCAGTCCTCTTTTAATCTCTGTGTCTCTTCGTGATCAGGAGGCCGTCATTTGCATTTTAATTGATTTTTCTATTAAAAACCCTTTATTTTAGTTTAACTGGGGGAACTTTTAACATTTCACCTCTTAATTATTTTACTATTCAGAGCGGTGGGGATTCAACTGTTATCAAAAGATGAAACAATAGGCACACTTGGCCTGACTGGGGTCGTGGATAAATTTTAAGTTCCATCGATCATCCTTTAATTTAATTTGAAAAGCTCGGCTTTTTCCAAGGTTAATAAAGCTGAATGAGGAATAAAACTGAAAAGAATTTAAACAGTTAGATATTTGGATTTGACTTTTAAAATTATAAGTTAAGTTGTTCGGTTGAAATCTGAATTGAATTATAAATTAAAAGCTTTCTTATCTTAGAGTGTGAACGAATCTAGAATAGAAAAGAGTCCTTTCGAATTTTATCTTAACAGTTAAAACAGTTAGCCTTTCATATTAGTGTTGCATTTCTAATACTACAACTCACCCCTTTTTTAGATGAACAGTTGTCTAAGCAATTCTCAAATAGGCACTGCTTAAAAATGAATACAGTTATGAGCTTACATGTCCAAAATAACAAGGTTAAGGTAAGCTTATAAGAACGAAAATGGAAAACTTTTATAGATGTTAGTTGGAAAAAGTTTCAAGTTTCTTCTCCAAGGCCGCATTGTAGTCTCTTTATTTTCTGATCTTTTTTCCGGCTCTCTCTTATTGTTTCTGCAACTATTTTTTGCTCTCCTTTTTCTCCTGTTTTCCAATCGCATTTTTTTCTATTGTTTTTTCAGCCGGTCCACGTTCTCTTGATCGTTCTCGGGAAAAGCCGTGATCCCGCTAAAAGGGACGAGCAGATATGTCTCTCCAGAGATGACGAGCAGAGATGTCCAACTGATGTCATCCACATACTCCCTGGGAGTTCTCTCCTTAAGTTAAAGGAGTTGTTCTGGGTATTTGAAGAAAAATATTCGCCATTGAATAGTTTTTCGTCGGACAGCGTGGTGCTGTAGTCCGTGCCATTTTCTTCGCTTCGAAGCTTACACTTGTTGCACTCCGGCTTCAAGGATTACTTCAGAGACGTAATGAATTGAGGTTTATCGTGTGATTAGTTCATTTCACGATCTGTATGCGTAATCGCTCAGCTACTTCAGCAAATTTTCCTCCTTTTGGTAGGCGATCTTCCAATGACAGAGAGATTAGGTTCCTGCGCTTTTTTTTGATTTGCCTCTTTTGCAAAGACCTGCCGTTTCTGCTTTTGCAAAGACCTGCCGTTACTGGGTCTTACTCCATTTCTAAATTTATAAAATAGTTTATTTTGTTTTATACCACTTTGGTAAGGTTGCTTTTATGCGCCATTTAGACAACATCATTTATACAAACGGGTTTTATAAAAGCAAAGTAAAAAAATGGAAATTTCCTCCTGGGTTCATCCACAGACTTACCATGGCAACAGGAAGATATTGGCGGAACCGTACCGGCATTTGCAGCCATTCTGCCATGAAGTATTAACTTCATATTATATCTTTACATTATAACCTTGTTTTTTAAAAGGCCTGTGAAATGCAACGCCTAAAAAAAGCGAACAGTTGGTTGAATTGTTGATTGCAACTATCTACCCCATAGCCAGATCATTTTTTCGCTCATTACGACATGTTGTCATCATCTAATAATCTACGTTCCTAAAAAGCTCTCCTAGAAGTCGATTTTCTTGAGATGCACAGTAAAAGTAAGGCTACGAGTTTGAAAACGATACCCTGGCTTTTCAAGATAGCGCTAGTTATTTTTTTTTCAGAAAACGGTTCAAAATTGTCGCTCTGCTTTCTCAAAAAAATGCTGGAAAATGCATTGTGTTAGATCGACGTTCCAAAAAAGGTTGTGATTATGATGTGTTCGTCATACTAGATCTTGTATTAACCTACTGGTTACCTGCAGTTTATTTAAGCTCAAAGGTCGTTTTATTTTGTACTTCCAAATTTCGAATAGGGATCAGAGCTCCACTTTATCATTATCTAAGAGTAGAATTAATCAAACTATATTGATCAAACCCTTGTTTATATCGAATCATATCTGACATCTTGTGTTGGAATACCCATAGTAATTGATTTTGCAATTTTTTGTCCGACATTTTTCTGACAAATCTGATCCCGTTCGGAATCACTTTTGAAAATGAAAATGAAAATCAATCATAGACTATCACCAATTTAAATTGTGCGTAGAATAAATTATTGGTTTATTATTTGTCTTTTCACAATAATGGAGGCTTGTTCATGAGGAAATTTTAATATTCAAATAAACAATTGAGCCATATGTTAATGAAGAGACCAAGCTTTTTGAAGATTCGATTTTTTTCCAGTTTTTTATTTTCAGGTTTGCTGTTTGCTTGAAAATGAGACCCTGTTCTGAAAAAAACTCAATGTATTAACTGCATTCACACTGTACTGTCTGACAGAACGTTTCTGATAGCACAACAAATTAGTTGTGGTTCTTGCTCATATCACCAGGACAAAAGAACCATAAACAATTATGAATGGGCTGCGCTTGGATTTCAACAGTAGTGAGACAGTAGTGCAGGATATTTCGTCTCCTACCCGCAACAGGAAGAAATTGCCGGAACAGTACCCGGCATTTGCGGCCATTCTGTCCTTTCTGTACCACTATGCTCTGTTGTTGGGGTGTGTGGGCGATATAGATATCAAGAGAATATCGCAATGGTTTCACAATGATACACGTAAGAGTTGCTTAGGGAATGTTCAGAAAACAGCCCATGTATTTAAAAAAAAACATTTTTTAAATAGTTCACTTTTAAAATTAAGAGCGAGATTGAATGTTTCGGTATTTTCCGATTTTTATTGCCAGTTTCGGTCCCTTTTTGGTTAACAAAGACCAACCACCGTTCACTTGTGGCTGATTTAAAGTTCGTCTGTTGTATCATCTGTTTTCCCAATGAACCAAGAAATTTATCCTCTCATTTTCCAATGAACCAACAATTTTATCATAAATTTCGAAATAGACTGTTAAAGAAAACAAATGTGGAAAGTGCATGAAATGAAACTCGCGGTATTTCAAATAATTTAGGATAATTTTTTTCTTTTTTCAGCCATAGGGGAAGACTTGGTTGACTTTGTGATGAACCTACTGAAGAGAGTAGGCAAGAAGGTGAACAAGGACAACTGGCAGGATCAGCTGGGCTCGTTTTTTCACAGACAGAACGAGTGGGACTCTTGGATGCTGAAGAACAATAGCAACGGGTTCCTCAAACTCACAATGAACAGTCGACTGAATGTTATAAAGGTGAATATTTTCTCCTGACTTTCGGAATTTCCGGGTCAAATTTGAGCCCAATTGTTGTTTTGCTGCCATGAATTATTAACTTGAATTATATCTTTACATTATAACCTTGTTTTTAGCCTTGAAGCTAAAACATGAAAATGGTTCAAAAATGTTGGGTTTGCGAGATCTCGCAGTATTAGGGTTTGTGACGTTTTTGAAGAAAAAAAATGCAAGTTTTTTATTCACTTTGAGCTTGGTGTATTTGAAAAGCCGTTTTCTGTTATCTACGGTGTTTCAAAATTAAGTTTTAGGAATAAAATGTATACCTTATCGGAGAAAAAATCTTTCCTTGTGAAAAATGATTTTTTTTTTCAGTTTTTGAACATATTATGACCTTATAAGTTTGTTTTTTAGATCTCCTTTAGATTATATTTTATTCGAGATCTTTATGTAGTTGTTTTTAGTATCTTCTCGAGAGGCAGTTTGATCGCAATGAGAAATTCCGGCAGCTAGTTGAGACACTGCCAAGTGAGGATATGCGAATACTACCAGTAGGCAGTGATGAGAAGGGACTCATCTACTGGTACTTTGAAGACACTCACTTCAATGTGTTGCTTTACAGGGAGGAACAGGATGATCACAATGAGGATAGTTTCACACTGCTAGCACGGTCAGTTCATTCAGTTCTAGTTGTCAAAGAAACTTCCAACTTGTTGTTCGGACCACTCTTGAAAGGCTGGGAAAAACTGGCGTAGGTGGGTTTGTCCGCCACGATTTTGGTACCTGGAGGAAAGCTCATAGATGGCTAAGTGTGGTATCATATTAAAGCTCTTTTTCAGTCGTAATTATGAACCTACAAGGCATTTCAAACTGTGATCGGAACATGGTGTTCCGTGAGCAGCAACCGGAATCTCTTGTTGTTCCGCCCACTTCACCAACTGTGAAGGAACTTTGGGGTAGAGTTTTATTTGCATCACAGTTTGACTACCACAGAGAAAGCTGGTCGAGTTTAAGTGTGGTATCATAATGAAATTCTTTCAGTCGTAGTTCGGATTTGTCAAAAACATGAAAAAAGGCGTCTCAGTATCAAGACAACTCGCCCTTTCCAGAAAAAAATAACACAAAGTTTGAACAGAAAGTCGAGAAAAAGTTTAGAAAAGGAGCCATTTTATATTAATTGATCCTGGATTGCAAAAGGAAACTAAAATTTGAGCATTTTTTAGTTCTGTGGAGCAGTTCACGTGTATTCTGACGAAACTTGAGAATCGGGACTTCTCATTATTGGATATCAAGGAACTGAAGCAAACTGCAACCACGCCCAAAGTAGAACCCCAAGAACAAATTTCCGAAAGTTATCTGAATAGAGCAGAAGTTGAGTTTCCAAATGGAAAAGTGGAATCTCAAATTGAGAATGAAATAACGGAGACATTAAAATTGGTTTCTACAAATCAAGAAGATGAAATTTCAAAAAATACACTTGAAGAACCAAAATTGGAGTCAATTGACATATCTAAGGAGGAACCGAAGGTAAACGCAACCGTTTAAGACATGAATTCATTTAATTAATTCAGTTGTGAGAGATGATGGATTTTAAAGGTGGATGATACCCATTTATCAATTTTTTTTATATTATCATAATAAAGCGTTTTCCATAATAGTAGATTTATATCATCCTTACAATTTGTGGCTCATTGAAATTGATTCTGTCCATTATGGCTTCGTTCATTTTGAGTTTTATTTAAGTTACAATCTAAGTTGAAATCCGAATCATATTGATTCATTTTAAAATAGTTAAATATTTTGATATAATCTGATATTAAGTTTTATTTAAGATGCTCGCTGAGGGTGAAATAAAGGAAGAGACTACGGAAAATGCAGCTAGAACAGAAGCTCCAAGTTTAGAAGCTTTTCAATTGAAACAAAACGTCTTTAAATCGGAAGAGCTTAGTGTAAAAGAAGAAACCAGCGCTATAGAGCAAAAACAATCTGAAGCTTTTGAAGGTAATTGCGAAACTAAAAACAGAGCTGAAAACGAAAGTCTCAATGAAAACGGCTTGAAAACTCCCAACAAAATTGAAACCATAAACTGCGTGCACAATAGCTCAAAACGAGGCAGTCCTCGAAAAAAAATTTTCAATGAAGTTTCTACTGAAAATCAACAAATTTCGACTGAAGATTACGAAAAACGCAGATCTTCAAGACTGAGTCGATCTGCGAAGACATGCTACAGTGTAGAAGATACGTTTAAACTAATATACAGCCAAACTCAAGTTACGCCACCTCCTAAAAAGAGGAAATTAAGTGCGAAAAATGAGGATTCATTGGAAAAACACGAGGATAATTTAGTTTTAAACTCAAATGAGGCAAGTGAAGACGTGCCATTGGCGAAGATTGCGAGTAGTCTTGAGAAAAAAGGCAATAAAAGTAGTAAAAGCAAAAGCAAGAAGGGAAAGAAAAGTAAGAAAAAGAAAAAGAAAGAAGATTCGGATGATGAAACTGAAAGAGAGGACAGATCTGATTCGGAAGATGACGAGGAAGTGATTTACCCAGGCGAAGAAGGTGATTTTTTTCAAGCAATACTTTCGAAATGATATTTAACTCAATAAAAAAGTGTTTCTATATTTCTATTGAAAATAGAAGGGTTTGCAATGTAGTAAGTGTGGGTCTGAATAATATTTAAGTTCGCAAGTAGCTTTTAGTAACAGTATCTTTGTTCTTTTTCAGACTACGAAGGCTGCAAAGTGTGTTTGAAAAGGAGCAAACCGAACACGATCCTTCTGTGTGACTCATGTGATTCGTCCTTCCACATGGCATGTCTCAGACCACCTCTCTTCGTCATACCTGAACAAGTCAGTAAATGCCTGTGTAAAAAGTATCCTCAGTAGCCTTTGTAAAAATTGCCTCGGTAAAAGATTATTTGACCTGTGATTTTTTGTGTAGTTATGGAAATCTTAAGCAAATTGAGATAAACATTTTGTGCTATTTTCAGTAACGCGTCCCGCAACCGGTGAACAATCCGGCTCAGAAATCATTCCGGACTCAATCTTTGTGGTCAAAATAATATCACATAAAAACATATCTCATTCTATTCAACATGGTTTGTTAAGGGGCTGGATATTTTATTTGAAAATTAACAAACTCTACTTTACTTTCATTTTGTCGTCATACGAGCAGTCTTTTAAAGAGTAATGATCGTAGTGAGTACTCTTATGTAGGTCTTGCTGATTTTTTTTTCAGGAAAAAGTCTTAAAATTTGTTCACGCTCAATTTTGATTTTTCGCGGTTCGACTTGTGATTTATTTTCAAGTTCAGTGCGTTTCCATTGTTTAAAGGAAGGCAAACTCCACAATCGTACAGCAAAAAAGGTCACGAAAAACATGATCGACTTCCAATTTCGAAAATGGAAATTAATTATCAGCTCTCCCAGCAAAATAAAAGTTTAACCTATTGATCCAGTTTTCTCAAATTGAGTTAATTTTAACAAAAAAATGTCTATGATTAATTGTTCCACGAATTCAGAGAGCTTTAAGGACATCTGTTTTGTTCTTCGACATTCAAAAGTTTTTTTTCAGTTTCCTTGCGTTCATTACTCTTTTCCAACTGTCAGTTGGCTATGTTTATCTTAGAAAAACGTACTAAATTTTGTAGGAGTGGTTCTGCCCGTCTTGTTGCCACGAGAAACTGATCGTGGAATTAAGGGCCATTCTAGAAGCAGTGCAGCTGCAGATTGCCAATACCAACAGGAGGAGGTTCGTGAAGAGATTAGTTGTGAACACTGTACTAATTATCTGCAAGTATTAATGTGTTTTGAGAGCCCAATTAACAGAATATGCATGTATTAATGTTTATTATATAGAACTCATGTAGAATAGATTCATTTCGATATCTCAATTCCGAAGTTTTCATTTTTTGCTTCTCTAGCCCTGTCATATATGAAAAGTGGAATATCCAATTGTTTTAGAAAGTATGTATCGTCTCATGTTCCTTTTGGATTCCCTTCATATGTCAACTTTCAACAACAACAGTCACTTGAAGAGGTAAAAATAATAAATTTCCATGGCTTCTGTTTTTGCAAATTCACACACAGATTGGATTTTTTTTTCGTAAAACAACTGAACCAAAGCTCACTTTTGAATCTAAACTTTTAGAAACAAGATTTTTCTCATCTCTTTGGCCATCAAATGTCTCCGATATCACAAGGTCGAAGTCTCAGAGAGAAGAAAAGAGTCAATTACGGCTACAACGACTTCGACCAAGAGATCAAAGCCGCAATCAGGGCACATAACTCACCGATGAAAGGAGAATCGGTTAATGGGTACTCCTCAGACAATTCCTCATCTAACAGGGCAGAGGGTTCACCGTCCAAATATGGAATGCGGTGAGTTTTCAAAAAACAACTTTCTAAATAACTCTCATCCGTCTAAATGTACAGATAGTTATTGGGTACAGTTCTACAATGGGGAGCGGTGGTGAAGTGGTTACCTCCACCGCTCAATCGAAAGGTAGGATGTTCGAGGACCACCATGAGCCGTGCTCGTTGCGTGAGACGACATTACCTAGCCCAGAAAAATAACCAAAAAAAATTGCATGTTCTTAAGCAGGGGCGCAACAGCGGTTCTCCGTAATGAGCTGTACAGCTCCTATGTTGGTCCATTCCCTGGTGGATAAATTGTCTTACTGAACTATCGTGAACCAAATTTTATCAGGTTCTAAAATAGTGGTAATTTTTGTTAACAGATTTGTGTGTTATTGGTCGAAGGTCTTTTGAAATCCAGATTGAGAAGGTTTTGTTAAGGGTTTATTTGTGATTCTTCTAAATTCCTGTTGATTTATTCGGTATAGACGTTAATTTTTGAAAATAACCCTTAATTTTTGTATTCAATTTTTGGATTTTACCTGTTGACTTGTTTTCTGCGATAGCTACTCTTAGTGTAATTTTTGTTTGAAAAATTTACAGCGAAACATGCACAAAAAGCGTGATTACTATTCGTGATTTAGATCTTCAAGGCGATTGAACTTTTTGCAACCGGAGTCGGAATTCAATCAGGATGAAGACTCAAAACAGCAATATAATTCCAACTACAATTCAGAAGCCGAAATCGAAAATGCTAACGAGAACTGCAATAGTCATTCCAGCACAGACGAAGCGAATGTTGACGAAGACAATTTCCCGAGAGAGCGAGATGTTGCGAGAAGTAGAATTGATAATCATTTAGTGCCCAGCTCGGAAATATTCTCGAATTTAATTGCGGAAACGAGTTGTGATGGAGATCGGAAAACATCCGAAATGCCAGTGGAACCCAACTTAAAATCTTTGCAAGAAATGGAGTCGAAACGAATAGAAACTGGGCTTAATGGGTCAACTGTTCACTCAAATGGTAGGCGATCACCAGTCAAAGGTGAGTTCTATCCTTAGTTTGATTAGAAATGGATCAAATTAGAAGATAATTTTTTTTTATTCTTTAAATTTAATCGTTAGATTCAAACTTCTTTAAGAGATGTAATATAGCCTAAAATGCCATCCTAACTTTTCTACTTGCTGATATTTTTAGTGGGGAAAATTGCCAAACTTGAAAAACTTCGCCATATGCATTCAGACCCAACTGCGAGACACAATATAGGTGAAACTCATGAATATACAGAAAACCCTACAAATATGAACCGCAAAGACATGTCCGAAAAAAAGCTACAACATGATAAAAGTTCTCACGATCTGGAAAAACAAGTGTATATCGAGAAACCTAGAAGACCACTTTTAACACAGAATGATTACGTATACTATGACGATGCCGAAAGTGATGTAGAAAATGACCTTGAAAAAGGAGAAGATCTTCATGATGAATGTAAAAGGACACTTGATTGTGATGTAAATGAATTTGAAAAGAGTGTGAATGGGTTTGATGGAAGATGTAATCGAGAAAAAAGACAGACCTCAAAAGGTACAAAATACACAGTAGATGAAGATTTCTGTGCAGACGAATTCAGTGATGAAAAATTAAGGTAAGTTGCACATTTTTTTATTTATTTTTTTCAGCAGTACTGAATCATTTAATCTAAGTTAACAGAATTGTTCTCACTTGCGAAGCAATATGTTATAGTACGAACTTTCTTTTTTTCCAACCTAAGTCGCAAATATTGTTGCGACAAAGTCGCAATTATTGTTGCGACTTCAAGCAACAATATTTGCTGCGTCGAATTTGCTGCATCGAATTGAAAATATGATGTTTTGATATTATGTTGCACCTTGATATGTAGTTGCACCTTTGCAGCTTATTGATAACATGTGCTTTGACATTCAAATAGTTAAAAGTTTACACAGTTGATGCATTTTTAATTCATTTAGTGAACAGAAGAAAGCTATTTGTTTCAAACAATATAACAATAATAAAATCTCGATTTCAGAAATTTTTTTTCTTAATATATCTCGCAATTTTTCGAAATGCAAAATTTTTACATAATGTGACTTTATGATTTGCGATTTTTTTACATCTTTTTTACAAAGTGTATCTTTTTGTATGTGATGCTACTTTTGCTGCATCGAATTGGCAATTTATTAGCATATGTAGCTGCATTATTGGTGGCTAGTTAGTGGGAATTTAAGCATCCGTGGCTGACTGGTTAGTGCATGAGACTCTAATTTGCTAGGTTGCAGATTTTTGGTAATTCGAGTTTTTGCTTAGCCTCTAGTTTTTGCGAATCGAGGCTTATTTCTACTTTTTTTTAAGTTACTTGATAGAGCTGCTTTTTGGTCGCGTTCTCGCAAGTGTTTGCGAAGCGCAGCTTCGCCTCTGTGTTCATGTTTGTTTTTTTAATTAGGTCCGTTTATTTTAAAGAGTAATGAACTTAGTAAAGACTCTTATATAGTTCTTGCTGATTTTTTTGTTTTATTTTTCAGGAAAAAGTCTCAAAATATTGATGCACTTAGGTATAATGCACTTTTTGATTGAAATTCATCTGCTGAAAGTGACGTAAAATGCACTCTCCAAATACGAACGTGGAAATGGCGCGAAAAACGTGAACGGTTTCTAGTTTCGAAAGTGGAATTTATAATTAAGATTTCCCAGCGGAATAAAACTTTACCTATTGATCCAGTTTTCTCAAGTTGGGTTCATGTTATCAAAAAAGCGCCAATCATGAATTGTTCTCGATATTCAAAGAGCTTAAAGGGCGTCTATTTTTTCTTTGAAATTCGATAGTTTGAGATTTTTTCAAGGAAGTCAGTGTTTTTTATTATGTTTACTTGCATTCATTACTCTTTTCCAATCTTCGATTGGCTATGTTTGTTAGGTAGAAAGTATATACAAGAACTTGATTTCCTAACTGGGATCCGTTGCTTTCCCATAATTACACAATTAATTTTTTCATGGGCTTAGAAATTAGCGTGACTCTTAAACAACTCCGGCATCTTTAACAAAATAAGGAATGTATTCTTTTCTTTTCAAATCTAGTTTTCTTGCTTAAACTTATCAAGAATTTCAGCTCAGACGAAGAACTCTCAGAAGAGGAGTTTGAAGACGATGAAGAGAACCCATGGGGAGGAAAAAAGAAGAGGGGTAGAAGGGGGAGACGAGAGGCTGAGAAGAAGAGAAAGAAGCCAGAACTAGAGCCAGAGAGAGTTAGTTCACGTCTGTCTAGCAGGACGAGAGTAGCTTATTCAGAAGATCCATATGCAGGTATGTAATAGGTTTTAGATGTAAATATTTCCAGCTTATTGGTTTTGACTAATTGTCGATTCACGTAGTGAAGACTCTTGTATAGGTCTCGATTGTTTTTTTTAGGAAAAGTTTTAAAATTTAATGAGGCTCAAATGTACTTTTTCGCCGTTTGATCTTTGATTTATTTTTGGGTTTTGTTCATTCCCGTCAAAAGGAAGGCAAACTCCCCATCGAACAGCAAAAGTGTACAGGTCACGAAAAACAGGATCGACTTCTAGTTAAGAAAGTGGCATTTAGTTTTCAGATTTCCCCAGCGGAATAAAAAATATATCAACTGATTCAGTTTTCTCAAATTAAGTTGCTCATATCAAAAAAGAGTCGATCGTAAATTGTTCTTGAAATTCAAAGATCTTTAACTCTATCTATTTTTATTTTAAAATTCGAAAGTTGAACTTTTTCCGAAAATAGTGTTTTTTTCTGATACTGCCTGAATAGTTACTACCATAAGCGGGATAAGGCGGTACCATTATATTCAGGAATAAATAATTTGTTTGTTAATAGATGATGTTGAGAAATATGCAATCGACGGAAGCAATCGTCCACCAAGAACAGCTCGCCGGTATTTCGACGGCCTATAAGCAAATACGATAGCTTTTAAGAATGGGATGAACAGAATTGTTTAACCAAAAACGAACCTTTGTCAAAGTGAGAACAGAAAGCGTCTTCTGCAAATATAGAGTAAAATGTTTCCATGTTTTTGAAATTTCCGTGATTTAGTTTTATCAAGTTTACAAATTAGTTCTACGTCTTTTTTGTTCATTATTTAAAAAAATGTTTATTAACTATCTTTTTTGCCGAATATTTGTGAAGATTTATTGTAAATTATGTCTATTTCATTTTATTTGTTCCAAGTATGGTAATGTTGCCTAGCTGAATTACAGAATTAGTTCAACCGTTTTATTTTTATTGGTTCATTAGGGGTGTAGGAAATTAGACGTCAAGCAAATTAGGCGATCAGAAAGTAACTGAATTTAGACGTAACTTGACAGTAACTTAAGTGCAAATTGCGTGAAAATTGTTTACAGACTTAAATTAACTTTTGGATGAATAAACACTAATTGTGCAACCAAAAATCAGGCTATTGATGTCACAGTTCGATATAATGTTTTATAATTAAATTAAAATATAAATTCTTAATCAGCTCTGGAATAATATACTCATTTTGTTTTTTCTGTAACTTTTTTCCCTGTAACAAACTTTCTTCACAGGATCTCTATTTTTAGCACGTTGCACGCTTAACAGCTGCAGTTAAACAGCTGTTCCAGAGCTACTGAAAGGATACTGAGTCTACAGCCAAAAAATTTTTTTGATATAAACTGGTTTTTTTGTCGGCTCGAATGATTTCGACTCAATTTTTGTCGGCTTGCCAGGTTTTTAATTCTGCAAATTTTTTGGTAGAATTTTCAATAACTTTTTTCTTTGTCAAGTTTTAAATGCAGTTCATGTTTTTCTGGTTCTTATACGCGCCGAAATTTTATGTTAGAAAAGAATTTTTTGAAACTTTGTGCTAGAATTTTTTTTGCATTTGAATTTTCTGTTTTTGTTTTTGGAGGCCAGGTTTTTGCTTTATTTTCTTGCTCTACAAGTGCATAGAATTAGTAAAGGTATTAATTGGTTTGGTGTATTTTAGTTTAGAGCAGTTTTACTCGAAATCAATTCAAGTTGATGGCATAGCGTATTGATTTCATGTCTAATTTTACTCGAAAAAAATTCATAGTTTTTCAGAAAGTTTGTTTTGCAATTTTGATTTGACTGTTTTGTGTACGAAAGGTTGTGACGAGTTTCGCACGAAAATCAGAAGTTCGGTTCTTTCTGGCGAAAATGCTAAGAAAAAAACCATTTCAACAATTGCCACCAGTTCAATTAGTCCTGTGCATAAAGTTGTTTACGGGAAAAAGTCTAGTACCCGATTGCAATACTCTTGCTATTGCGAGGGTAAAAACTTGAAAAATAATTGCAAGTTTTAAACAATTTCCGCAAAAATTGTTTAAAACTTGAGTTTATTTTCATTTTTTTACCCTTTCGATAGCAAGAGTATTGCAATCGGGTACTAGAATTTTTTCCCGAAACAATTTTATGCACTCGACTCATTGAACTGGTGGCGATGGTTGAAATGGTTTTTTTTTGCGGCAATTGCTTAAAACTTGATTTTATTTCCATTTTTTTACCCTTGCAATAGCAAGAGTATTGCAATCGGGTACTAGACTTTTTTCCCGTAAATAACTTTATGCACTCGACTCATTAGACTTGTGGCAATTGTTGAAATGGTTTTTTTGCGGCAATTGTTTAAAACTTGCATTTATTTTTCATTTTTTACCCTTGCCTATAGCAAGAGTATTGAAATCGCGTACTAGACTTTTTTCCCGTGAACAAAATTATGCACAGGACTTACCGGACTGATTGAAATGGTGGCACCTTGGTGCATAATGAATTCAAATTTTGTAGAGTCTCTTGCTCACTTAGCCTGGTGGAAACGAATACGCCTGGGATGGCAAAGGTCGAGGGTTCGAATCTGACCAGGACCAATTTTTTTTTTTTAAAGTAATTGTTCCGGTTCAAAAAAACTTCGGCCCAATATTTGTCTCCTTATGTGTTTTCGGCTTAGTTGCCACATCAAAGAATTGTTTACTTTAGCTGTAAACAATTTTAACTGCAGTTGTTTTTAGCAATTTAAAAATCCGTATGAATAGAAGTTCATTTTTCACATTGGTTAAAGTTTCTGTTTTTTTGTCTTTCTTTATCGGCTTAATAATTTCGGCCTAATTAATATCGACTTAGTGGATTTTGTATGCATGTGTGAGCTCTGAGGGGAAGGGACTTGACATTTCCTATAAGTTAGAGTTTTTGTATTTCTTTTCGGCTTGAAGGGTTTTTTCGGCTTTGTTACCGATTGGTAATTATAAATTCAAATGGAATCAACCATCCGGCGCATCTGTCGTAGAGGTAAAACAACTGCTTGAGACGGCAAAGATTTGCGGTTCAATACGGACGGGGCCTTTTTTTATGCAAACTAGAGTTTTTTCTTTTTCGGATCATCGTCCCTCGGTTTGTTTTTGTCGGCTTAGTTCCCGTAGCTTGGCTTAGCTTTGTTCCAAGTTGCTGTAATCCCCATGTTTGAGACTTCAGACGACAAAGACCGGGGGATTGGTTCCAACTGAGACATGTTTTTCTTTGTCTGCTTGGTTCCGCAGAAAGGACTATTTGTTTGGAAACTTGGCTTCTGTATAGCGTTCCCAAAGCTCTTTCTATAGTGTCTGACGGTGCAGGCAATTTGTTTAGGCTATTTTGGGCTTTTGTAATTTTTTTTTACAAAAACGATTTTTTTCCGTTTGTTTTTCATAGTCATTCGTATTTGTATTGCAAGTGGTGCGAAGCACAGCTTTGCCTCTGTGTTCATTACAATCTTACTTGATAGCACATAATATATTGGGCTTTTTTATCCTCAATTCTTCTTGTAAGATATGCAGGTTGTCTGGTTGCAAGAGTTTAAGCAAAGTTTTCCTGTAAATTTAGGAATTTTTGGATCTCGCTTTTTTTATCGTTTCCATTTATTGGTTATGAGAAAAAATGAACTAAATTTATGACGTCAGAATCTGTCTTATGTTTTAGATAATTGGTATTTATATTATTTGCAAAAAGGTTTTTCCTGATTTCTTTGCTGAGGGTTTCTTCAGAATTCATTCAAGATTTTCACTTTTCGTTTGAGACATTATCTTTAAATTGTTTTTAAAGATTTTATTTTGTATCGCCAGTGGTGCGAAGCTCAGCTTTGCCTGCGTGCAAAGTTTGTATTTCTCAAGAATCCTATATCTGAAGCCGAATAGCGTTTTAGTTTTCGTTGTTTGTTCATTTTTCACTAAGTGCTCATTCACTTCCCAAGTGTAATATGAATTTATTGTTCATGAATTAAAATGGTGAGGAACGATTATTAAAAAGGGGATAACCGTTTATTAAAATGGGAACGAACTTTGTATTCAGGTGTGTTTTAGTTTTTCTTTTTTTTTCACCACACAAAATCAGGTAATGCAATGGGGTAGTAGTCTTTTCCCCATATCTATTATCTATTTTATGTTTAAATGCGGGCTTCACTATCTCGCCATGTTTAAGCTTTTCAACGTATTATTTTTGCATGTTTAAGCTATATTGTGTATTGCAAAGGTTAAGATTTTTTTTTCGATTTTCTAATTTGATATAGTGGTTATTTTACCGAGTTTAAATGAAGCAGCCCAATATCGAATTAGGGATTGCGAATTTGGCCTCCAATTTTGAATGCTCGAATCATTTTAGTTGACGAGACAAGACAATTTTTTCAAAAATTTTCAGAAATTTCAAAAAACAAAATAATTTACAAAACTTGAAGTTCCCAACCCTGTAGTTGGGGGCTGTCAGAATACTCTAAGGAGTTACAAATCTTGCCTCCAAATATGATTGTTCAATTCCTTGTAGTTCTGGAGATATGACGTTTTTTGTGATTTTTTCAGGAAACTTATCTTAATTTTTTTTCGCAAAATCTGAAATTCGCAACCCTGTAATTGGGTCCTGTCAGAGTAATCTCAAAAATTGTGAATCTTGCTTCCAAATATGACTGCTCAATTCTTTGTAGTTTTCGAGATATGACGTTTTTTGTGATTTTTCGAAAATTCTCAGAAAACTTAAGTTATTATCAGTTTTTAAAAATCTGAAATTCCCAACCATGTAGTTAGGTCCGGTCAGAGTACTCTCAAAGATTGCGAATCTTGCCTCCAAGTATGACTGCTCAATTCTTTGTAGTTTTCGAGATATGACGTTTTTTGTGATTTTTTCAAAACTTTTCAGAAAACTTATATTATTATTATTCTTCAAAATTCTGAAATTCCCAACCCGGTGGTTAGGTCCTGTCAGAGTACTCTCAAGTATTGCGGTTCTTGCCTTCAAATATGACTGCTCAATTCTTTGTAGTTTCCGAGATGTGACGTTTTTTGTGATTTTTTCTAAATTTTCAGAAAGTTTAAATTCATTCTTTTTTTCAAAATTCTTAGGTTCAAAAAAACTCACAAGAATCCTAACCCTATAGTAGGGTGCTCTCAGGGACTCTCAGTGGTTGCAAATCTGGCCTCCGAATTTCTCCAGAGCCTCATTAACTTTTCGAGATGGTGCTTTTAAAATGGGAATTGAAAAAAAAATTAAAAGTTCGAAATTACCAACCCTGAAATTGGGTGCAGTCAGAGTACACTAAAAGTTAGCAGATGTTGTTTCCAATATGTGCGGTTTTTCATGAGTTGTCGAAAAATTTCGAAGCCCCGAAGGTGCATTAAACGCTAGTATAATTTAATTCTGGACAATCTCCAGTTTCACCCAAGTTGCCCTTTTAGCAGCTCTAATTCTTGGTCTAGACTTAGTGTGTTTCGAGTTAACGAGTTACTGGGTCTTCAGCTTTGATTTTTTTGTTGGCTTAATTGGTTTCGTTGTTTTATCCATTAATATCTATATTTCTATAACTATCTATCTATCTATCTATCTATCTATCTATCTATACTAATTTTGCATGTTTAACGAGAGAATTTTTTAACGGTTAAGCTTTATCATATTTTGCAAGGCTTAAGAAAATTTTTCAATGAAGTTTCCGCAAGGTCATCAATTTTTTGAGGTCAAATAAAGTTTGTCTGTCTGTATACCTGCTTTTTCATCTATCTGTTATCTATCTATTATATATTTAAATGCTGGCTTAACTCTCGCCATGCTTAAGCTTTTTCAACGTATTATTTTTGCATGTTTAACAAAAGAATTTTTGCACGTCTAAACTATAACGTATATTGCTATGGTTAATTTTTTTTTCAATTTTTCTGTTCAACTTCAGTGTTTATGTCATCAAGTTTGAAGTAAGCAAACCAATAGTGGGATTTTGTCAGG